GGCCACAGCCTGCTGAATGTAGATGGAGATGAGAATGTCCGACCTGGCAGTTTGCAGGTAGGCAACCATTGTGAATTTTAGGGCCACGGCCTGCAGAATGGTGAACCGAAGAGAACAATGTCCGACCTGGCAATTTGCATCTGGCCGAGTGGAAAGGTAAAACAGTTGGGCCGGCCTCTATGGCAAGGTGGACCCAGAGCGCACGGGCAGGCCTCAGAGTTTGGGTAGGAGGTAGGGTTCAGGGCTTAGGGTTCAAGCTTTCGCATGGAAGGTGTTCGAGGACTCGGATGGTTTGTGGGTAAGATTTAAGAGCATTGTGGGTTTGGAGCTGAGGTTCCGAGCTTCAGTGGTTTAAAGGTTCAGGCCGGGGTTTAGGATTTAGGGTTTGGTTTAAATTAGGGTTGAGGCTACGGCTTGAGAGTTGAGGTTTGAGTCGGTTTGAGGGCTTCGGGGGTGTGAGGTTCGACAGTTGTGGACAATTAAGGGTTCGAGGTTGAGGGTTCAGGGTTGAGGTTTGAGTCGGTTTGAGGGTTCGGGGGCTTCGGGGGTGTGAGATTTGAGGGTTGAGGACAATAAAAGGGTTCAGGATTGAAGTTGAGGGTTCGGGCCTGAAGTTGGAGAGTTCAGAGTTCGGGGTATTGTGGGCTTTGCCTCAGGCCTCAATCCCCAAGTTGAGGATTGAGGGATGAGGCTTGGTGAACCGGTCCTTGCGCAGGACTGGCTCACGAGGGGCCTCGAGCCTAGGTCTTGCACAGACCTGAAAAACGAGCTAGCGCATGGATCGAAGGATATCCTGGATGTCGGTGGACCAGCAAGTCAAGCCGTTTCAGCATCGAGATTTAGCGACCCAGGGAGCTCCTGCCGGGAACAAGGTCCCACCCCTGTAGGGGCCATACCGGGCATTCACCACCACTGAGAAGCGCACCCAATGCCTACTTTGGCGATGACGAGCTACACGGCCCACGTCAACCCAGTCTATCTTTTGATCCTGCGAGACGGGGTCTTCCTCAGACCTCCGCCTGGGTCTTGCTCAGACCCGTTACATTTGCCGGTCTTGCTCAGACCGGACAACAACCTTACCCTAGCACAGCTGCTAAAACCCTGCCTACTGCATCTGTTACAGCCTCAAACCTGTCAGGTTTGAGGCTGTAAACAGGTGCAATAAGCAGGGCATTTACCTCTAACCCGCAGCTGTGCCCTAAACACGCCTATCCTCTAACCTAGGGTTCGGGAGGGTTCTAGACTAGTTACATGGGACCCATGGTCTTGCGCAGACCATGGGCCCCGGGGCGGTCTTGCTCAGACCGGCGGTCTTGCACAGACCGCAGCCAGGCCTCGTCTCCTCCGGCCGCGATGACGATGAAGACGAAGAAGCTCCAGGGGGTTTCGCAGGGTTTAGGGTTTAGGGTCGGGGTTTAGGGTTGAGGGTTCAGGGTGTCAGGCCAGAATTTAGGGTTTAGGGTTTAGGGTCGGGGTTTAGGGTTGAGGGTTTGGGGTTTTGGGCTATGTACCTCCTCTTCAGGCCAGGGTTGAGGGTTTAGGGTCGGGGTGTAGGGTGGAGGGTCCTCAGGCCAGGGTTTAGGGTTTAGGGTCGGGTGTAGGGTTGAGGGTTCAGGTGTGTACCTCCTCCGGCCAGGGTTTAGGGTTTAAAAGGGTTAGGGTCTAGGGTTTAGGGTGTAGGGTCTAGAGTTTAGGGTCAGGGCAAACATAGGGCTTAAGGTTTCAGGCTTTGACGACTTGATACCCGAATCCCTAAACCAACTAAGCCCCGCAACCCTATGGCCTAAATGCCCCACAACTCCAGAGCCTAAACCCTAGCGCAAACCTACTGGACCCTGAAGCATAAACCCCAAACCCTAGAAACCCAAGCTAGTCTTAGTAGAAACCCCTGGGTGTCCGGCTCAGCATGGCAAAGATGTCGTCGAAGGGCAAGACCAGGACTTTATTATTAGGGTTTAGGGTTTTGGTTGAGGGTTCAGGGTTCAAAGTTTCGGGTTCAGTTCTTCTGTTGGCAGAGGGCCTAGGGTTTAGGGATTTAGTGTTAAGTTAGTTGAGTGCTTTGGGTTCCTCCAACCTGAGCAAAACTAACTGCGGGGCTACGGCAAACTAGAGCACAGTTCAGTGTTTGGTTCCTCCTACCTGAGCAAAACTAACTGCGGGGCTACGGCAAACCAAAGTACACACACTCTCTTATCCCATGGCACATCCAACCTGGAATTTATTACTATGTCATATGGGGACATTGTATGCATGCTGTAACCACGAACAACCACAAAAATGCAAGAAAAACTTTAAAACCCCGAAACCACCACCAAGTATGGCTTTCCCAGGCTCTTCCAGAAACCCAATGCCCTTCTCAAGTCTTGGCGCTGCCTGTCCCTTAGGAGCCCCAAGGCCCGATTCCCATGGCGCACCCTCCCTTCGATCTTCTTGTCGGGTTCTCCCTCCGGTTTCTCCTTCTCCGGAGGCCGCGGCGCTGGTGCAATTTCTACCTTTGCTACAAGGCTTTCGGAATTCAGGCGCGGCAATCGGTCTCCCGTGGCAGGCTTGGTGGGCCGAGGACGACGGATTAAGAGCCACAAGTAGAACAGGCCACTCACCATGAACAAAACTAATATGACGAGACCCTCTACTTGGCCCGTAAAGGTGCGGGAGCAGCGGGGACGCCATCTTCCCGGATTGCCCTGGGGGGGGCCGCGGCCGCGGCAGCCCCTTCCCCGAAGTGGACGAACCTTGGCCGGGCCGTTCTCTGCTTTTAAATGACAGGCTTCCGAAACAGGGCTGGGAATTCAGAGTAGAGGTCCCAAGCAAGGCCCCAAGGCGTTCGAGCTGATTCTGGCCAAACTTCTCTCGGCTTGGGAATTCTTCGCTGTCTCTCACAACGCCGACATCAAGGCAAGGTGGCTCCGAGGAAGTCTCACCCTGACCACCTCGACTCGAACTTCAAAACAAAAGTCAGACCAAGGCAATTGGTACAACGAGTGACCGAGAAGCAATGCACAACAAAGCGCGCCAACCTCTGAGAGAGAAAGTAAAGGGATCCTACTGAGTGAGGCACATGACCACTCTTCCGAAAGTTTGGGAGTTTCTCTATCCGATGCAGTGATCCCAATTGCAGAGGGACTCGGTGGACTGGATGGCCCTCCGCATCTCCTCCGACTGCTTCCTTACACTCCCGCGGCTTCAAAAATCAAAGAGTCGGTGGAGTGGGGAACTGTTTTAAAGGCTTTCCTAAAACACAAGGAGCGCTCTTCTGAGAGAGCCAAGACTAAGCCAAGGCTCATCTTCCGGACGATGGGGTCATCGTCGTCGTCGATCTTCCGAAAGTTCTTCGGGTCGCCCTCCTTCTGTATGTAATATACTCCACTCTTGATGTGGAGGTAGAGTCCAGTCTCGGGATGGAATTTCCATTTGCCTCACGGTAGCAAACTGTGGTCTTCAACTTCACCCCTTGCCTTCACAAGCTTGAGTCGCAGCTTGAGCACTGAGCACATGCCAAGGTGCTAGTCTTCTTGTAGACGTACCAGCCGCTTCCATCAGGAGCAGGTTCATAATCCTTGTGGCTCTAGGCCCTGGGGTTGGCTTTTAATGACGAAAACTTGCAGGCGGTCTTTTGGGACTTGAACGTCGCACGCAACAAACGCTGCAGTTGCCGAGTCCTCGACGAATCTTCGCAAAAAGATATCTCAGAACAGCCAAGATTCTGCAAAGCTGGTGGGCGGCACCCGCTCTGGTGTCTTTGATCTCTGCTGCTTCCGAGTTGCTCGTCCTGGGTGCAAGAGCTCAGGGTTTAGGGTCGCGCACTCCGTTCTAGTAAAGCCCTGAATCGCTTCAACACAAGGTTCGGTTCCTCGCAAATGGCTCTCTGACCTATATCCGCCCTCAAACGCAGCAAGAATCCACCCCCTCCAAAAAATCGTTGAAAGGCTGATCCAATCAAGGCAAGGCCTCGAGATTTGGACCTCGACGCTGCTGCGCGCCGCTTCGGAGAGGGTGTTCGCTTGCGGGGCGAAGCGCTCTCGGAGGAAGCTCTTCTACGATCTCCTTGGGTGAACGGTTCCATGTGTTCCTTTGGGTACATAGGCTGCAGGCACACGAGTCTGAATCGAGTAACAATGCTGGCTGCGACTTTGGTTTTATGTGGTGGGAAGCGTTCGGGAAACCAAGTGTTTCGGACAGCTCCACAAAACTTGTCGAAGGGCGCTGGCATTACTTTCGTTTTCAGCCTCGCTTCGTTGTATCGGTGCCAAACATGCCGACGGCGAACACGTTAATCAGCTCTAAATCCGAAGTAACCGAAACTCCTGCCTCGCGTCTGACTGGCTGGTATTATTGGCCCCTCCCATCACTGGCCACATTGTTTCGAGACTGTTCTTTCTATGAGCCACTGCTCTCAGGCAAGAGGCGAGATTTGGACCTGCGATTCTTCGACCGGCTGCGGTTCTCTTTGCGCGCCCTTGATCCTTAGCTGGCAGCAGTAGCTTCTATACTCCATGCACCTGGTATTCACGATCTCTTCAAGGAACTCGAATCAGCGCAAGTCGGTTTAATCTCATTGCCTGGCAAGCTCCCAGTAACTCGGCCGCTGAAGCGCTAAAATGGCTAAACCTAAGCCAAGCGTCGGCTCCTCTTCGCCCGCCTTCCGGAGCGGCTACGAGAGGCGCTCCCGCGGCCCATTCTGAAACGGAGATGGGCCCCTTTGCCCGGCCCGCCCCCCCAAAGGCGGGAGGAGTGCCCTACCTTGGGCCCTTTGCTGCGAGGCCAACCGGCTCTTTTTCCCTCACCCTCTCCGTCTGCATCACAGGTCATGGCTCGCAAAAACAACGCCCAAACCACTCTTTTTGGGCTCTGTTGATGCGTTCTCACAACGCGGAGCCTTGCCTTGTGGGCCTTGCCGAATCAGCTATACGGTATATACGGCTATATTACACCACAACTCACCTCAAGCCATGGCATCCAGCTTGGCGAGTTTAGCAAAATGAGAAGAAGCATCTTTCATTAAGTCTTGCGGGGATGCGAGTTCCACAACTTTCCCGGCATCGAGCACGCAAACCCTGTCGGAATGCATGATTGTGGAAATGCGGTGAGCGATGCACAGGACCGTATGGCTAGCAAACTCACTCCGGATGGTCTCTTGGATCAGGTTGTCGGTATCCCTGTCCACGGCTGAAGTAGCCTCATCCAAAAGAAGAATGACGTTGGACCGCAGCAATGCTCGTGCCAAGCACATCTGTTGCCGCTGGCCCAGGGAAAAATTCTTACCCTGCTCCTGGACGACGCTCTCAAGGCCTCGATCCCCATGGCCGTTGTCCAAGGTCGAGACATGATCCGACAAGTGCGAGCGCTGCAAACTCTGCCAAAGGCTTGCATCCGACGCTTCGCCGACTGGATCCAAGTTGAAGCGCAAGCTGCCGGAGAACAAGATGGGGTCTTGAGGAATGATCGTCAAGCTGTGGCGCAAGCAGTGCAAGCCCAAGTTCTTGATGTCAAGTCCATCCAGGAACACATTACCGGAGCCAGCCTCTACCAGCCGCAAAAGCACGTTCAACACGGAAGACTTGCCAGCACCGGTGCGACCGCAAATGCCGATTTTCTCTCGACCGCGGATGCTTAGGTTCAAGCCACTCAGAACATAAGGCAAATCGGGCCGGTAGCGGAGGTACACCTCCTTAAACTCTATCGCGCCCTCTCTCGGCCATGTCTGAGGACTTGGGTCCGTTGTCTGGTGATGGGGAGGCTCTGGGTCCAGTCGCAAGTACTCTCGGACCCTCTCGACCGAAACTATGTTCGTCTCGCGGTCGGCCGCCATTCGCACCACCCAGTTTAGGGCTTGCGTGACTGAGAGGGCATAGGAAATGGAGAGGCCAGCAACACCTCTGGGCTGTGCAGACTTGATGAACGCTATCTCTACTTTCATGACTCCGTACTGTGCCCGGCCTGCACTGATGCTGTTTCGCCCGAGCACTGCCAGCGTACCCGCGCAAAAGGTGATGGCAGCCCCAAAGCTTTCCTGGGTCGTTGGATTCGCTTGTCATGTTTGTGCTTGAAATGTAGGATAGTGGGGTTAGCAGACTTAAAAAGCTACCGTAGCCCGCGCGTCCAGACTAAATACACTCGCAAAGAGCATGTGCGGCTTAACTGGGGCCCTGCTTTCGCCATGCTTAAAGAGAATGCTGCCGGTGCAAGCCTCGGAGAGGCAGGGCTTGTCTTAAAGGTTGAAGAAGCTCTTCTCAACCTTTCCGAAACCTTTGAAGGGTTTGCAGCATAGCTTCGAGGCGGACAGCCAGCCAGCGGTTGGAGGACATGTTGGAGTAGTAGGCTCTCATACCTCCAGAGCCGGGCATGTCATGGTGTTGCTTCTGCTCTTCTTGGTGTTTTGCAATGAAACTCAAGTTTTTAGGAACTCCCCGGGCTTCGGCTCACACGAAAGAGGCTCTCAGAGATGAAGATGTCCTGCTGGCCGTAGGCGCGGATCAGCGCGGTTCCATCCAAGGTCTCCGAAAAGTGCGAGAAGATGGGAGATCGCAAGTTGGACTCGATGCGCTTCAGCTGTCTGGAAGCCGGGATGTAAAAGTTCTGTGTCGCTCGGTAGAGCAGCAAGAGCGGGAAGATGATGACTAAGAACCACGGGGTTGCCACTGAGATCACTATGATGGTGCATACAACAACTGACGAGACTTGGAGATAGCTGTAGAGATTGTTTACCAAGACCTCGTCGATGGTGTAGATATCTTTGGAAAACCTGTGCTGTTCCGGCAAGAGGGTATGGAAAGAGCCACGCACCCCGTAAACATCATCTCCAAGAGCGGAGACCTAGACCACCGACAAAAGCTATGTGTAGTTCCAGCGGAGAAACCGGTTGAGAACGCGGCCAAGTGGAGTTGTGTCAAAGAACGTCATCGGCAAACGCAGCAAATTTGCCAGGAGCTGTCGGTGGAAGGAGCGTGCGGCTTTCCTGTGTGCACATATGATTTCCCTATTATCCTCAGCCCCGAAACTTAAGCTTGACACTGAGCTTGAACTTCAAATCGCAGACTCTACAGCGCACACTAGGGGTGTGGAGCCGAGTTTCAAGGCTGTCATTCTGAATAAAGCGCTCGTCAGGAAGATTCCAGTGAAAGCCTCGGCATGCAGCGAATATGAAAAGCCACTGGGGATTCTGCGACAGGTTTTCTACTCGACATCGAAAGCGGAACGCCGGGCTTACACCACCACAACAGGTTTGCGTCTAATTTTGTCAGGGCGCTGTGATGCTGAGGCCACCATATCCCAGCAGTCCCACCAAGCTCGTAATGTGAGGCACGCTCTTGGGGGTGTTGTGGTCAGACCAGAATGAAAGCCAGGCGGCTGCGACAGACTGGAGACCTTGACCACACAAGACCCCGAACACCACTGCAACACCCACGCAGGTTCCACCAGCTGCGTTGATGTAAGCCCCATAGACTTCGGTTGGCACGGAGCCGATTTGTTCCTCCTCCTTCTGCACCAACTTACCGGCTTCAGTGCTTTTGGCTTCAGAGGATGCTGGCTCATCGCTTGTCTGGCGCTCGAAAGAAGCCGTCTCACCGTCCCCACGCTTGGCCACCAGCTTAGGAAAGGCGTTTTGAAAGTCGGCCAGGGTTCCGCAAAAGGCTATCTTGGGCACCGGCTGTGTGGATTGCTTGTCAGCGGACTCAGCGGACGAAGACAAGCTCTCCGCTTCAAGATCCAGCGACACATCGGCATCCGCTCCGTTCTGCTTAGATGCACCACTGCGGCTCAGTAGAATGATCTGGTCTGCACTGTGCACCGCTTGAAGGTGATGTGTGCAGAGGACGATGGAGGATCTTGACAACAAAGGGCCCTTGAACATCTTGAGCAGCTTCTTAGCAACATGCGAGTCCACGGCACTCAGCGGGTCGTCCAACAGCATAAGATCCGCTTGAGAGTAGACAGCACGTGCCAAGGAGATTCTTTGCTTCTGTCCTCCAGACAAGTTGACGCCCTTTTCACCGATTTCTGTCATGTCCCCATTGGGCAAGGCTTCTAGATCCGGCAATAAACAGCAAGCTTTGACCACGGCCTTGTAACGATCCTCATGGAAAGTGCTGTTGAAAATAATGTTGTCTCGGACCGAGGCGTTTCGAATCCATGACACCTGGGATGTGTAAGCGATTTGCCCAGCTGTCGACACGATGCCTGACACTGGACTCAAGTCCCCAATCAGAGCTTGCAGCAGTCCGGACTTGCCAGCACCAACTGCCCCAAGCACGACAGTCATGTGAGCCGTCTGTTGTCCTTCGACCGGTGCTGGAACGGAGAAGTTGGCCTTCGAAAGAAGCGGGCTTCCATTCGGCCATGCCAATTCGGCATCACGAACTTCCACTGCAAAACCTTTGGACGCTGCCTGGCTGCGTCCTGGGATTTCGGGCGCACACAAGAAATCCTCCAGTCGCCTGATTGCAACTTTGGCTTCCACCACGGTCGTGATCGCCTCATCGGGTTTTGACGAGCTCTTGCGAACCCTAGCAAGCGCCTTAGGGTGGACTCTATGCTACAAGATCTCTCTGAGGCAACAGCTTGTGGGAACATAGTCAACGGAAACCGCAGAACGTTGAAAAGGGCCACAGCAGTGAAGGCCGTGCTGGCTGTTAGCTCCTTGTAGAGCCAACAGTACACTGCAAACGTAGCCTCAGTTCGGTGTGGGGCTACAGTTCAAAGACTGCAAGGTCCAATCCTCTTGATCTTAGTTCCCCAAAATACCAACATGACCGGAGGAACCAAGGCAGTAAGAATCGGGGCTGTCGCCCACATTGCAGAACTAATGATGTTCAGAATTTGGTATTTCCTGAGCTGCTTGAGCTCCATCTCACGAACGCCGTCCAGCCTTGTCTCAAAAGAATCTTCCCAACCATACCTCAGCAAGCACAGCACAAGTTGCACGATGCTGCGCTGCTTCTATTGCGTCCACCAATCCATCAGGGATACATTTTCAGGAGACGGATGGACCCAAAAGCCTCGTTGGTGAGCTTGATTCGTTCGTCCTTGATGGTCCTCGTGGCAGAAGCTGAGACTTAGGACTTTCCAGGGCTCGAGGCATCGGGAAATCTGCCTGAAACCAATTGGGCAAAACGATGACGACAAAACGACCAAGTTTCATAAGCTTACGCTGAGCAAGGCGAATTCTTCGAGCTACCAATGCCACCGCTGGAATCTGCACAAGCATCACCTTTGGTGCTTTGGCGTCTCGGGGTCCCGGGACTACGTATTTTGACCGCGATTTCTGTTTATTGCAGGAGAAACATGTGCAACATATCCGAGCGACGCTGAGTCCAGCCAAAGTTGCCCAACCCACTACCCAATGCAGAAATATCAGTGTGATGATAATCTGGTAAGGCGAGCTCCACAACGGGTGGAGTTGAGGAGCGAAATCTTGAAGGCGCTGCGAGTCGACGGCCATTAGGTTCACGATCTCTCCGGATGTTCGCTGCTTCGAGTCTTTGGATTTCGAAGCCCCATCCACCCTCAACGATTTGTTGTAAACGAGAGAAATGCAAGCTACATTGAATCTCATTCCAGTGCGGAAGCACCGGTGAAAGTACTGATGCAAAACCATTGTCTGCACTGCAGCGCTCAATAGCATGAGCGCAACGTAGGACATGCCTTCTTCGAGAGTGCATTGGCTCGGAGTAGATCCG